AACTGACCTGTGCTCGTTTCTGCATGTCGAGTTTGACGACATCTGAGCACCTACTGATCACACCAGAACAGAACAGCTTCCTCTTCCTTTGGCACGCTCTGTTTTTGTCATTCTGATGGACCTTTCCTCTCACTTGCAGAATCATTTCTCGAGAGTTGACATTGGCAATTTGTTGTTTCGTAAAGGACAGTAAGAAGGCGTTGAAGCTTCTCAAGATCAAGCGAACCGTGCAAGTGCGGAAATCGAATTCCAACCAATCCAAACCGGACGCGGAGTTTGGCTGCAGGCACAGCTCTCACCTTGGATCTCTCAGTTCCACATGACGCCCCATGCACGGGTACTCTATCTATCACGCTTGGGACCATGAAAATTTACCTCCAATCTCCACGATCCTCACAACCCGGAAACCATTAACAGCCAAGACCACGCTTATCGGAATGGACTTTTTTCTGCAGATGTAAGTCTGGAAAGGTCTGACAATTTCATTGGCTCCAGAATCTACCAGAACCCTTTCCACACTGTCCTCTGCTTGGAGATGTTGGAAGGTGCTTTTCTTGAGCTGAGGAACTACGAGTTGTTTGCTCACTGGTGGCTTGCTGGAAGACGCGCTTGGCCTCTGGGAAAAATCCAGGGCTTCTTCTCTTTTATCATATTACTTTTATTTGTGACACAAAACACCACAACACTGGTAAAATTTTCCAATACAATTTCAAAGTTTGTGTTTTGTTATCAATGATAAATTTAATCTTTGGCTTCAATATTCATTTTACAATTATATTCAATAAAATAATATCTTAATCTTGAATGTCACATCCCAGAATAAAATAGAATTAATGAAAAAGTAGATGAACAATCATCAGTTCATGGAAAATGTAAATATGATGGTACAAATAAGCATAAGTGTTTTCATTGTGGATCATACGATCATGATAATGTAAAAAGTGATGAATGTCCACGATGGACGGGTTTTGCATTATTAACATTACTTTTTAATGATTATTTTATACGTAATAAAAAGATTGGTGGTGAATATATCACAGAACATGGTGGAAGGAGAACGAAGAGGACTCATCTCCTCCTGAAGCCTGCTTTGCTGAGCGACCGTAGAAGGTCCAAGTGATGGCGGCGGTTGGTAGCCTTGGATAGTTTAGGCACTAGCTTTGGCCTGCTCTCTGCAGGGTACGGTGCATTCCAGGGTTACGACAGGCGCCGTTTCCCACTCTAACAGTGCCAAGAATTGCTCTTGTCCACTATCGCGATCCATCACCCACACCACACAGCCTTATCTCGCGACGCCAGGCGTAAGAACTCACTCCTGTTCGACATTAACATGTGCAGCTAAAGACATGTCGACAGGCAAACTGCGATCGCGCACCCGGCACTCGAAGGTTTTGATGGAGTTCCCGACCATTTCTAGCGCAGGAACAGCCTGACGGCATCATGACATGCACATGCTCTCAAAGATCACAACACAACTGAACCTGATTGACCTTCACAGGCCTCTTTACTTTGCACGTCCAATGCCAGTTCGTGATCCTATCGAGACACCAGGCAAACGCAAATGGAATCCAGGAGTGAACATATCATGCTCGTTGACATTCGCGAAATGCAGCAAATCATGCATCTCGATGTGCCGTCCTGCACGCTCAGCTTGGTGCATGATTCCTTTCGCAACATGAACCTTTGCAGGAACGTCGCTTCTGTGATTCCCTGAAACTGGTACTGAAACCCTGCACTTGGACCGCCACACACCATTCAGCCCTTCGCAATAGCACAGCTCAACGCAGCATGCCACCATGTTGATGCACAATCTAGGCACAATATTGCACAATAATCGCTCAGGCCGAAACATGGAAAGCATTGCATGCCAACATCCACGACCAAAGCACACCGGAGAAGCACGTGAGCCAACAGCTATCCGTCAAAATGTGCACTTTACACGCACAAATACATATGTGTCGCGTTTGCCAATTTTTCTATGTGGAAATAAACGGTTTCTTCCTGGAAACTTATTTCCCCCAATGCAAAGCCAGCAGAAAGCCACTCTTGACCGAGCAAAAATTGTTGACTGCTGTTTTGGCTAAAAAAGAACATATGTTTTGAAAACAACATCAACAACCATTCAGCAGTCTGGCATGCGCTGTGGTTTCTTGTAATGTCACCTGAGGAGTTCCTGCAGTGGCAACACAATTCGTCATGGATCTGCACTCGGGCGTGCGATCAGTTCCGAAGGGTAAATGGTCCAACTGCCCTTGTCGGCATCTGGCATGGAAAGGCTATCCTGAAGCAATCTCGAATGTGGAGAACCGCCGGGTGTTGGGTGATGCATAAGGATGCAGAGACCATCGAGAGATTTTGATGGGCTGGTAGCAACTGCAAACACGTCGTCCAAGTTCGTGCCAAATCAAACTTCCGCAAGATTTCCAGAAGCTCTTTAAAGAATTTGCTCCAAACTCCAAAAGCAAGAGTGGACAACTCCAAACTTGTTGCGCGCTTCACCGGTTGTCTGATGGATGCGGACAGTACCTTGATCAGCATGACTTCCAAACGAGTCTTATATTCTTTTTCTTCTGGTGGGATGCTTGGAACATCCTCTTCCACCGCTACTCTGGCGCTGTTGATAGCGATTCCAGGCCTTCTTCATCTGTCGTCCAAAGAAAGCACCAAAGAAAGAAGCCACCACAGCTGCAATTGCTCAAGAAGTGTACCAAGTTTTGAGCGTATCCTGCGCAAGGATGACACGCTTACAGGATCATTCGCACTATCTGGACAATATCGAGAAGTGCCTCTTGGGTGGGGTGGGAAATTCAGGGTGTTTTCGGGGATTGGACCCCGGCGATAGCCTGGTACCCCAGTCCTATCCTTGACCTCCCCTCCCTGCAGTCCTGAACCCAGGTTGCTTGGGGAAGTTCGGACGATGATGTCCCCTTTAGCATTTGCCAAGCAGTTGGCATTATAAGATCTTGCATAGTCTGCAGCATCTGGCCAATGTTTTGGAGGCCTACAAGATTTGGACACCCTAAGGCAGGGCATGGCTACGTTGGCACAAAAGAGAATGGAAGCTGGACAGTGAAAGATGCTTAAAGATTGCCCGGTCCTGTCCTGAAGCTGAACTCTGACGAACCTTGGAAAAGATTGAGTAGAGAGAAACTAGAGAAGTAAAGTGGAAAAGTCGAGAATTCTTCTAAGGTATTTCTTGTGTTCAGAGAAGTAGAGAATCAGTCTAAATTCCATGTTTCTAGGTTTTTGTATTTATACTCAAGAATAAGAAATTTTATCCCTTCGTTTCTTGTTTTTTTCTTTGTGCCCATTATGCAAGAACATCATCGTTTTTGTTTTTGTTTCTTGTATTTATGTTCGAAAAGCAGAGACTAGGTAGAGAAATTCTTCGAAAATTATAGTAGAGATTTTTCATTTAAATTCCATCCCTCTCGTTTCTGTTTCTTGTGCTTATTTTTCGAAAATCATTGGAGAAGTTCTTCGATTTTGAATTCCACCTCTGTCGGGGGGGGGTTGGGGGCGGAACGCAGCCCCCCCCCCCCCAATTTGCTGTTGTTGCCAGCCCACCCCTCTCGAAAAGAATGGAAAAGCTGAAGAACGGAGTGAGGAAAGGGAAGGAGGTTAGGAGGTGTGGTTGGGGTTGGAGTTGACCCAACCCTAACTCCAACCCTTGACCCAGCTTACGGTTAGGGTCAATCCAACCCAAACGAGTTGGGGTTCAGGCTGTCCTAACCTGCTACCTGGAGGCTTTTTGTTTACCTGAACCCGAACTCAGGTTGGGGTTCGCGTCGACCCGAGGTTGCATATAACCTGAGTTGAACCTTAACCCTCAACCCCAGCACGCGGGGTCTGCTCAGATCGGCAGCTTTCTTTGTTTTTTTTTGTGTTTTTCTTCGATGTGCCCTTTGGTAGTGGCCCATACTGTAGTCGATGCCCCAAACAGCAAGGCCATGCAGCCGGCTCAAGATGAGGCACAGATGGAGTCCAAAAGCCACTGGAAAGAGGAAAGTTGCAGAAAGATAGCAGCAGAAGACATAACGAAAAAACGACCTTGGAAGAGCTTGGAAGCTTCCTCTGATAGTTGTAGAGAGTTTGCAATCAAAGCCAGTGCCCGAAGTTGCAAGTCCTTCAATTGCTTGCTGCAATGATTAGTGAGCCAACGGGTTTGTCTTCGGCCACACTTGATAACAGATAAAACATCGCTCAAATCCGCCAGTTCCAACGTTGAAGACCGACGTTGGGACCAAGGTTTTCAGTAAACACGGGGGTTCAACGCATGGTTTTCACCCCTCCAATACCACTGGCGCACTGGCGACAAAGAGCGCCATGCCTTCGCCGGAAGCGGCGGTGCTGGGAGATGGAAGCAGTGCAGATGAAGATACAGGTCTCTTGGGGTCTGAAGCCCAGGCAGGGCAAGAAGCTTGCAAGTTGTCCAAACAGTTTTATTGTTTCACATGTTGCGTGGGTTGTTTACAATGCTGTGGTTGTTGAGTTTTTGGGTGGTTGACATTATGACCCTTCGAAAAAGGGTGATGTCTCTCAGATTGAAGACAATTCGAGACATCGCCTTTCTCTTGTTAGATTCCATGACTTTTGAAGCTAAATGAGCTGTCAGCACATCTAAGAATTATGGCTGTTTGGATTCACGAGCTAATGGCTCTTCGAACCAAAGGTTGAGACAGTGGTATCGACATGGCCGTGGGTCAAACCGCCTAATGTACAACACTTAACCCTTGAAGATAGACTCAGATGACATGTCAGTAGGGTGGCCACACGCCAGTTGCCAGAAAGGTACCCTTCTTAGGTCGCTTTCCCCTCTTTGGCCTATCCAGGATCTTTAGATCAGCAAAGTCACTATTTTATTCGGAAATACCATGGTTTCCTGTCCTTATTCTTGGAGTTTTCTAGAAGTTTCCGGTGCTTGTGGTAGTTTTCTAGAATTCTCCGGTGTTGTGGGGTGTCCCTCGTTGATTTTGACCCCAATCCCCACAGCGAGCAACATGCACCAGGAAGGAGCGGCTTCCCGTCATGCCAAGCCGGCTGAGAGTGATGATGAGCTGAGTTTTGCTTCGTGGCCCGGCGGGTGACGCTTGTTTTAGGGAAAAGTTTAAAAAAAGGATAAAAGCCCTAGCGGTTGATGGATTGTTTGTTTGCTGTTTTGGTCTTTGACATGAACCAAAGTATGTTGAATAAGTTGTTTTGTTGGAAGCGGTGAGGACTTGCGGTCGATGGAGCCTGTACACACTGGCGACCTTGTCCCTTTGCTTATTATCCTTTTATGCAGGAACTGTTTGGGAGGCTGAAAAGCATGGCTTCTCATCCAACACTGTAGAGAAGCTGGTGAGCAGCAGAGTTCAGGACGGCTTTGCAACTGGGGGCCCCCCCCAATCTTCAAGGTTTCTCTTTCAAGTTCTTTGAGGATGTTTGGCCCAACAAGTTCTTGAGCCTTTTTGTAGATTTTTCTTCCGCAGGAGACCTTGGCCTATTCGGAGTTGAAGCCGCCGACGCGGCCGGCGGAGGTGTCGGTGGCCGTGCCCGGCACTCTGCCTCCAGCGGGGGATGTCATGGCGAGCGGATCGACGACGACGACGACCACGACGAGCACGGTGATGCAGAAGACGAGCGGAACGAGCCCAGCGGTACAGCAAGTGGCCTCGAGTACGGCAACAACGTTTACTTCGGTTGCTTTGAAACACAGAAGACTTGTAGTTTTTGCTTCTTGCTTGTGGAGTTTGCGCAAAAATCATTTGCTATATGAGTCTTGGACTCATGTTTTTAATCATTTCTTTGCGTAGTCACTTGATTCATGTTCCAAAAAGCACCCTACTAGGGTACATTTCACAAGGGCTTCTTAAAGAGTTTGGAAGCCTGAAAGAAGGGCCAAAAGAAGAGCTACTTTTTAAATTCATCATGCATCCCCCACCTGTTAAAGGGTATTTAAGGCACCCCCCCGAAAAACCAGAAACCAATCTCTTCGCCTTCGCCTTTTTCTGAGCAAAAAAGAGGTCGAAACCGTGGAGAAGGCCCTGGCGTGTTTGCGCATGAGTTCTCCCGACCTGGGAGACTTCTCGTATCCCAGCGATGCCGAGAAACACTTCGGGAGGCGCGGGCGCGCGGCACGGCCGTTGGGTGTGGGTGTCAGCAAAAGAAGAAAGCGCCAGGCAGACTGAAGGTTAAACTCATGTCCCAGTCAATTCCTTCTTTTTTTGGTAACAGAGGGTGTGTGGGGCTTGGTTTTGAAAATCAGCGAGCCGCCCGTTTTCCCGGAGATCAACGAGACGCTCAGCTACTTCTTCCCGGCGAACTTCCCAGCTCACGTCTGGGCGGGCTATTCTGGGCCTTGGATCGAGAATCATTGGATCCGCAACTTCAGCCAGATGCCAGGCTGAAGGAGTCCAGTTCTGTTGTAAAAATGGGTACTCCTTGAAGATTGTCCCCCGCAAGAAATGGGGGGTCTTCCTAGGAAAAAGTGATTATATGTTGTCCACTAAGAGTAGAGACTATCCAACCAACACTCAAAAGTTGCCTTTGGGCTCCTGACTTCTGCTTGGTTTCCTGTCTTCCGTTTTCCTCGACGTGGTGCAGCAGCTCTTTAGCTGCTAGAGAGCCGCCAAGGAGATGGCGAGACAGGCCGAGTGGCAGCAAGTTGAGAGACATCTTCGGACCATTCATCCCAATCTTTGCGCCCTTCGTTGACATGGCAGTGAGAAGCCATGGCTACCCTGCTGGCATGATGGAGTCCCTTGGCCTGCTGTAAGGATGGCACTCTTGCGACAGACCGTCTCTTCTTGGGGCCCCAGAAGATGAAAGGTTTGATGGATCTTTCTCACATGGATGATTTGGAAGTAGGGATTTGTTACATGGGCTCACTTCCGTTGGGTTGAACATTCTGAAAGGAAAAAAGATCGAATGGCCTTTGAGTGGAAGCTCCCCGTAAAGTGGTGAATTCGGGGTTGCAGATGACGTGTGAGGATGCTTAAGAAGATGATGCGGAAAGATGTGCTGTACGTGGCGGTGTCTCAACACGACTTGGGCATTTTCAAGTCAAACAGGCTGGATGCAGTGATGGGTGCTGGTCAGGGAAGTGCATAAGTTGTACCGCTCATGACTTGCATGAGCTTGATTCCTTAATGTTGCAGAGTTTTTGGATTGAACACATTCCAGAAAGTTGCCTGGAAATGCCATAGCTGCATAGCTTCTACAAAATAGATTCCTGCAACCCCAACAAAGAGAAAAAACCACCTGTTGGGGGTGATTGGGCCAGGAACTCCCGTGTGACTCAAACGGAGCTGCCGAATCTCTTGATTTTCAGCGCCGGGGGCTACGGCCACGTGCCGATTCCCCTGCTGAAGCAGCCGGAGCAGCTGCTAGCGGAGAGGCCCTTTGGGAGCCGTAGCTACTTCACGCGCCTTGGATGTCGGCTATGGTACGGGGTTTTGTGATGTTTTGTAGCTTTGAGTTGTTTTGTTTTGCTGGTTTTTACTGGTTCCCCCGACGTTCTATCGTGGTTGGGGGAGGTCAATGGGGGTTCTGTGCTTTGTAGATGTGATTGAATGTATGGTTGGGTTGGTCGGCCTAAGTGGGGATGTTCATGGAGGGTCACGAACGAGCCCACCAAGAATAGCCAGTCATACAGTCATGCCTGGCACCTATGAGCTGTAAGCAAGATAGATGGAATGACTGACATCAGCCAATGGGAACCCTACACCAAAGCTTTCAGGTCCTTCGTTGGCACCGAGAAGAACGGAGGTGTGCGGACGCAGATGAAGAAGACCACCGACGCATGGGCGCAGCAGTCCGGCAAGGAGCTGAAGAGAGCAGTTTGTCTCCCTCCAAAATAGAGCAAGCAAGCAGCCACAGAGGGGGAAAGAAGCACTTTGCTTCCTAAATTGGTAGGTTTGTTGAGCCTTTGTGCCAAGTGTGGGAGAAATGTACATGGATGTTGAGTCAGAGATGTTGAGATTGCTGTAAGACAGGGAGCTGGCAACTTGTGAACTTTCCACAAACCTACTGAAAGGGAAGTGGGTTCAGGAGACTCTCCCTCTTACTGCTTTAGGCTTTGAAGGAAGCTGTGGGAGGAGTTGACTCGCTCGCCAGGATGTTCTCGTCTCTTTCAAGAAAGTCGCGAATTGGAAGGACGTTCTCATGACCCTCGGTTGCCAGCATTTCTAAGGACTTTTTCCCAGCCAAGTGGCCTAATGTTACGATGTTGGGAGCTAGGTGTTTTTGTGCTTTCGTTTTCGATTTCCTTTGGGTATAACCAGGTCTTTTTCCAATGTTGAAGCTGCACTGTTTCTTCGGCATGGCCCGAACATGGGAGAGTTGGGTCCTCCCAACGTGCTTTGTAGGGCGTTTCAAAAAACTCTGGCGACAAAACCACTTGGCTATCTTAGAAAAAAGTGCTTCCTTCATCAATGACTAGAACTCTTGGAGGGTCGAGTGCTCCAAAAAGCTCTTGACGCCAAGGAACAGCTCGTTGGCCTTGTGTCCCAGAGGCTTCGGACGATCATCCTTCCGAACCGGAGAGCTCTTTCAGATGGGCAGGCGCCCTGCAGATGAGGGGTTGAGGGGCTACACCTGCAATTTGGGCAAAATGGAAAAGGGCTTCAGAAAACGGTGACCCCTTTTTGCGACCCCTAGGCATTTGGAATGCTTTCCTGTATCCATTCTTCCCATTTTTGATCAACAACTTTTTTCCACAGGAATGGATATAAACAGACACGCAGGTTGTGAAAGAATGATCATTAAGTCTTGAAGAGTCTAGTTTTTGATACTCTTGTTGACGTCTAAATGCTGTCATATTCCTTTGGCCACAAAGCGACAAAAAGCGGATGGAACGAACCAAGGGTCCCCATCTACATATGGGACGACGAACCCTGGTTGTTCTACAAAGAGCTTTGGGAGAAGGAAGTCATCGGCTTCAGCTGCAACATCAAAAGTCTCGGCAGTCTGCTGGAACATGCTGCTTCAGACATGCAAAAGCTCGAGCAAATGGAGCAAAACATTCTGCGGATGCGCGAGAGTCATTTCGTCTACGAGCCTTGCCAGTGTTTGGGGGTTTGAGCAAACATTTTTCATGGTGTACCTTGAAGCTTCAGCTTGGCTTGGAGATGACTGGTAGGACTCAGCCGAGCTTCTCTGCTGGTATTTTTTGTTGATGCCGGACATGCCAGAGAGCGGAGCCTAGTTGGTTGACAGGTGACAACAGCGATTTTTGACCTAGCATGTCAGATGTGGTTAAAAGGAGGTTCCTGCTGAGGCTAGCTGGTGGTCTAGGGCTCAGACTTGTTGAGATCATTAATATGTTTTCAGTGTCGAGGAAGTGATGAAGAGCCCCAAGACAAGCAACCATGAAACCTTGCTATTTTTTTGAGGTGCCTTGCTAGCAATGGGTCTTTCAGCCTCTGAGGAAGGAATCATCGACCAGATCTTCAGGTTCCTCACCGGCCAGGACGGAGGCAGCGACCTCCGCTGCCAGAAGTATCCCATCCGACGGCTCCGAAGGCTCCGAAGGCTCCGGCTGAGGCGGCCGGTGCTAGGGCGGCTCCAAAGAAGGGCGCGCCGGGCGGTTTATGTGTGACAGAAAAGGCGCCGGGAGGAGTGGTGAAGTCAGAAGGAGCTCATTTAGAAATTTGTTGAATCACCTACAGATGTTGAAAGAATTGAAGAAATAATGGAGACATCATGCATGTAACTGTATATCATTGAGCGTGTTTTGTGGCAATGGAAAGCGTGCGGCGGGCCAGCATCCCGCTCTTGCTTAAGAGTTGGGGGGGGGCGGGGGGGGGGTCTTAAGCTTTTGGCTTGCTCTCGGGTATAGCCACAGCTGTTTGTCGCTTCGGGTATTTCATCAGTTTGTTAGAGTTTGTCATCATGCGAAAAAACACGCTCAAGATGTCAAAATGTATACACGCCAGATAATACTAGATTTACGAGACATCCTTGAATTCCAGGTTAGAGGTAAACATAGGTTCTTTCGCTCCTTGGTGGGTACAGGTTACAGGTTAGCTAAAAAGGCGCCAGATGATACACCGTCTATTGACGTATTAATTCCCTGCCCCCTCCCACGCACGTCAGAAACCTGAGCCCGTCGCCTCCCAAGGTTGAAGGGTCCGCCGGTCAGATATTGCATTTCTTTGCGGAGAAGAGGCATCAAAAACCTCCATAGATCAGCAGGTCCCTATCTGTTCGCAACCCACTGGTGGATAGAGGTTGCTCAATGAATTTTTTGCGAGGTTCAGCAGAGAAGTATAGCGACCTCCCGCTTGTCAATTTGTTCTGCAGCGTGTGCTTTCTCTGAGTTTGCTGCAGTCACTTTGCGAAGTGGCACAAGTCAGACGTTTCTCCTTTACGCATATTCCCCCAGTTTTGGCACCGTTTCCTTCGAAAAATCATCCAAACCGGCTCTTAAGGCCGACCAGCTTGGAATTTTGGAGGAACACTTCTTCTAGGGATCGAAAAACTGTTTGGGGAGGTATCTAACGGGCGGCGGTGCCTGACAAGTGAGCCGTTTACCCAGTATACGGGGCGTAGGGTTTAAGGTTTTTCTGGCCGGCTGACTTGAGAAGCTCCGAACGGATTCGGGTTCAGCCTCGCTGTTCGGGTTCGGGTTTCCAGTTCGAGTTCGCTGACGATGCACTCATCTCGGGGGGAAGCGGCGGGTGGGTGTTGGGGTTGGGGGCTTGCCACTCTTCCTTGTCGTGTAGAGAGTGAGGTTCGGGTTGTTCAGAACCCTCGTTTGGTTTCGGGCAAGCTCTTGTTGCTTAGGCAGCTCGAGGTTCGGACTTTAGACTTAGCCCTTGTGCAGGTTCGAGTTCGGGGGCTGCGCCAGGCAGGGGGGAGGTTGGTTCGAGTCCTGGTCTCGACAGGTTCTTTTTTTGTCAGCATGCTGTAGGACCCAAATGGTTTCTGCAAGCACTCTCTGCGGCAGCAGGCTGCAACCCCCACCCCTGAAACAAAGGGCAACCTCAGGCCGCACAAATCACTCCAGGAGCGACATCGCAGGCCATCTCTGAAACTTGTATCACTGCCCGTTTCATCCAGAGGGCCGGGCACGTGTTGGGCAGCAAACGAAGGGCACTATTACTCAAACCATCCCAGTGCAGGTGGACGTGTCTCGTGCAATCAGTCATGACTGCAGAGAGAAGCTCTCCGACAACGATGGCGAGCTGACACATGGCGAACACAACTGCACATTGCCGCCGGGCTCACGAGCATGCACTCCCCAGTACCTTCGAGACCACTGCTTCGGTGTGTTTCGGCAGCCGTTTTGGGATGTCAACGATGTGCAAGACGTAGGGCAACTAAAGGATTTTCAGGCAGTCCACCAAAACTCAGCGATACTGGCATACCAAGAAGCATCAGGAATGTCCAGTTCATTGGAGCACCATGTGTTGCCGTGCAGATCAGGCTTAGGATGAACGATGTAAAGGGTGGCTTTTTGATTTGTTGCGCATGGAGTTGTGATATGCCATGGACCAGATCCAGTCACCACGGCCGAAACCGACAGGCTTACCTTTGTTGCCGTCGTCATGCAGAGCAGCATTCATGTTGCGTTGCGCATGTTCACGAACGTGTGCTGTTGGGTTGTTGCCACACGGATCTTGCTTTAATTAACATGTTGGAGTTGTAGCCTGTGCTTTGATTTGCCTCGGGTTGCAACAATTCCAATTGCCTGGCATTTGGCCTCCTCACAAAACTGTAGTCAGTCAAAGACAGACAGCGGGGATCAGCGGGGAAGCACAAACCTACATTTCCATTGTCGATATGTTGTAATCACGAATAATCGTTGAGCGGCACAAAGCTTGCCCTGCAGGCGAACAAGACATCCGACAACTTCGCGCCCTTGCTCGTGTCTCAAGCATCCTGTGTCAAGAAAAACATGCCTTGCAAACAAGTTATGGAGGCTACCGTCAGTACCTGGCAGTGGGCGTGAACCATCCACGGCCGGAGCATCAAGCTGGGAAAGACGACATGCTCGAGGCAAACGGAAATCAGCCGAGGACAGGCCTAACTTTGGTTTCAATTTGAAAGATCGCCGGGTTCAGCTTGCCAGAAAGTTGCAGGGCACGGATGGTCACCTTTTTGTATTGTATTGTGAACTGCTGTGCAGCTATGCAGGCTGGGTGAAGCCAGCATGGTCTTTCACGTTTTTCATGCACACTTGCAGCAATCAGAGAGGAGCAGATTGCCAACGTTTTGGAAAATCGGTCAGCAAACATCTTGAAACTGGTGATGGTGTAATGATGTTTTGGATGAAGCAGCTATCAAACATGATCAGACATCAGGGCGTGTGTCAAATCAATCGGAAGGCTGTCAGTTTTCACATTATTGCGTGGGCTTCCCATCTACGTGAACACGCCGCCACCACATCAGCAACTGCTGTCAATCGTTCACATCTGATAGATCGTTCGCGGTTGTCACATGCCCACAGATCGAGGCGGTCAACACAGAAGTTGTGTTGCCAGCTCAAACCGTTCCGGCAGATATTGACGCAGTCGTCACGAGGACCAGCATGTCAAGTTGACCCGGTGCGGACCCGGTAGCAACCTTGCCGCCTTCCCGACCCATCAAAAGCCTGCTTGGCATTCGTCAGGTCGTACTCGATTCAGAAGGTCGACAAGTTCAGGTAAAGCAACGCAGGATGCTTCGTAGGGAACGTTGTCAGCACCAAGACTCCCGCTGGCACAGCTGGCCAAAGCCTATTGAAGTTCTGGAATGAAAACGCGCCGACAACGGCTGCCTGATCTGTGCGGATTTGCTGAACACGGCGCTGCACACGTGCAATGCGACGCGGATCGCAATTTGCAACAGCAGACTTGCTAGCTAGTTGGAAGTGACGCTGCCATGGCCCATGGAACAAGGCAATCCATCGGGGTTGCATCTCAGGGACAAGTTGTCAACTTCTTGCAATGAAGCACACCATTGAACTTCTCTGTGGAACTTGTTCCGAGCAACGCGAAGCATTGCCTTTGCATAGCAGCGTCACGTGCAACCGCACAGAGTTGATTCACCACGATGGTTGTTGTTTGCGGCCTCCTCCAATTCAGTACAAAAAATAAGCCACAGTCACCGCCCCGAACAATATCCAGGCGTTGCGGAATCCTCTCTAACAGCCTTTCCGAAGCGCGACGGCCCTCTGCAACCTCAAATCGCCGGCAGCGACAGGTGGCGGAATCGAGGTAGGGGGGAGGCGCGGGCATCGTAGCAAGACGATTCGGAAGGCTCGGGCGCTGGGGATTGGAAAGCACGCTACTTGTCAAGGTCTCATACGGTCTCATGGGTATCCCTTGAGTTCGTGTTGAAGGCGCCATGTGCGGCCATGTGTATGTGTGTGTGTGTGTGTGTACTTGTTGTTTTGGTTGGAGGTCCCGCCATTTCTGCGGGGCGCTGTGCGGGGAGCACTCGCCCGACTGCCGGAGCACGGGCGACAAGACTCCTCGACCGTGCGCAGGCCTTTCAACGAGGCGATTGGCCGCTGCTGTTGCAGCAAGCTTGGGCTGGCCGAAGATCGCCCCCGCATCGCGGAGCGGAGGACGCGGAGCGGTGCCGACACGTCGTGTGTGTCAAGTCCGACAGGGAGGTTTCTCGAGCTCACCACGCCGCTGCGTTGGCGCCGGGAAGTGAATCTACATGGAACGCTCTGACGCCCGAGCACAAACCGCCGACGACACGGCCCACCAGCCTGCGGAACTGCCCAACCTCATGGCCACTGTGGCGGAGCGCTACGCGACACGCGCCGCGGCAGCGCGCCGGGCTCAGCGGCATGCGGCCAGAGCACCTTAAGGTCTTGCTGGTGCACGCTGCCACATCCCTGGCCGAGCCGAGCTGCTCGAGACGGTGTCGCACCGCCTGACCGCGCTACGGAAGCCAGCCCCGGCGCCCCGGTGGGATCCGCGGCATCGCCACGCGCGAGTGCTTCCGGCAGTCGATCGCACGCGCTCTCGCCAAACAGTGGGCCCCAACGTTCGACGCTGCCACCCGCCCCTTCCAGTCGCCCCGGCATCCCGAATCGAGCTGGAACGGTCGCCGGGAACTGTAGTCGTCGCTTTGGATGGTACGGCGGCCTGCGTCCCCCAGGCTCGTGCAGAGAAGGGTACCCAAGGGGAGGGCTGCGAACAAGGTGACTTTTTGGCCCGGCGGTGTTCGCTGTCGGCCAACAGGCGACCTTGCGTGCCGCTCGAGGCCTCCTGCACGCGCAGAACACGGTGTTCACGTTTCCGGCGTCCTCATTACATTGCACCTAGCCACGTGCTGCGTTGCGTCGAATCATGGCAAGACGCGGATCTTCGACTGGCGAGCACGGGCCACACCCTCCTGCCAGGATCGCTTTGCGCAGACGCCTGCAGCTTACCAATACCGGGCAGGAACAAGCCATAAGGCCCGCAGTCTCCATGTTTTGCGAGGGTGTCGAGGGCTGGTGATGGAGAAGTGAAGCGAGGCAGGCGAGGCACAGCCTCCTCAACACAGGCCATCCGCCAAGGATCACAGGAGATCTTGGCTAGGAAGGTTCGCGCGAGGCCTGTTCACTGGAACCTCGGTTGAAGACCTCCTTTTGAACGAATTTTCAAACCTCGTGCT